CTTACTGGAAATTATCACTTTCACCTCTTGTATTACCTCTTGTATTTCCGAAACCATGCCTATGTTCATCTTGAAATTTTACTGGGATCAATATTTCATCTAATAGTACTATTTGCCATGAAAAAAAGTTTGAAACTCGAGGTCCAAAAAATTGGCGAAATTTGCCATCATTCTTCAAAACAATATTTATTCATAAGTGATAATCATCGTTAAGTTTAACGTAATCACTCTTAGATGACGGAAACGGCATATCGATATATTTTGAAGACATGTTCAATGTTTTGAAATGAAGACTGTCTTCCAATATTCAGTATCAGTACCGAAAAAACCTATAATTCAGGTTACATATAGATTTTCAGTATTGACAATAAATATCGGAACGTAATCAGGAAATCGAAATAAAGGAAAGATAGCTTATAATGCATGTATATATTATTATATATAGATACTTGAAAGCAAAACGATTTCGACAGTTTTTTTTCTAGTGACATTGGTAATCCATGTAATTATGAATTTGAGAATCACTGCTTAACCACTGCGCAAACCACAAAATTACGGGTCTCTCTCTCTTGCGCAAATGATTTTCAAATTTTATAACTAGTTACTAACGTTCGTAAAAAAAAATTGTCGAAACCGTTTTGTTTTCCAGTGTATATATGCTTATATTACAGATAAATTCTTTTCAAATATTTCATAATTAAATTAAATATTAATTGTAAATACTAAAATAGCAGGAATAATGATGATATAAAGCCATAAACAATATAAACATTTACTACTCATATATTATAAAGTATTGCAGATAAATTCTTTCTAAATATATCATTACTATTCACTTTTAATTGTAGTAGAAATATCAATATCAATACTAAGAATGATAATATAAGGTACATATACAATATAAAATTACATAAACAATATAAAATTTTACTAGTCGGTAAGCATATACAGAATAGCATCCATGTCTACCGCATAATTCGGTGGATATATTTTGAGAATCTTAAGCGTAAAAGATCATGGGTAACTCCAGGCGAACCATCGACATCGACTGCAAGGCCAAATCGCTATGGACGGAAGACAATGCTCTGTGTTTGGTGGGATCAGAAGGGTGTGTTCTATTATGAGCTGCTAAAACCTGGCGAAACCGTTCATACTGAACGCTACCGACAACAAATGATCGATTTGAATCAAGCTTTGCGTGAAAAACGACCAGAATATCAAAAAAGGCAACACAAAATGATTTTGCTTCATGATAATGCACCATCACACATAGCAAAACTGGTCAAGGAAACGATTGAGGTGTTTAGTTGAGAAATACTTTCGCATGTGGCTTACTCACCAGACTTGGCTCCGTCCGATTACTACTTATTTGCATCGATGGGACACGCACTTGCTGAGCAGCTGAGCGCTTCACTTCTTACGAAAATGTACGAAAATGGCTCGATGACTAGTTTGCCTCAAAAGAGCAACAGTTTTTTTGGCATGGCATCCACAAATTGTCAAACAGATGGGAAAAATGTATAGCTAGCGATGGGTAATACTTCGAATAAAATATTTTTTATCATTTTCATACAGTAAACGTGTATTTTCTATACAAAATTTCCGGTTTCATATTTACATACCTGATAGACTAGGCCGAAGCAATAATATTGATCTTATTTTGATGTTGCAATTGCCATTTTCTGTCGTTGTCTAATGTAAAATGCAGGCCTAATGTACGTAGAATTTGGATTTTGTCGTATCCGGTTTCGACGCGTTGTTAATTATAGAAATCTAATGAATAATCGCGCGCAAAAATGGTATTAAAAGAGCATTTCAGCTACTTAAGTTATAAGTAGCCCAGTCGATCTAGCAATTGTTGCTGGCGCGCGGCGAGAGAAAGGACAACACGTCGCAATATGTCTTATCTCGTCGTTTTTGTGTCTCTAGCTAAATTGACTGGACTGTGCTATAGCCTGATCGGTTGAAAAGCTCCTCCAATATCATCTCGGCGCACGCTCAATTGTCAGATTTCTATAATTAATAACTCAATAATTATTGCGAATATCACAAAACAGTATGGAACTTTTATATTTCTCTTAAATCGCTTCATATCTCCATGTTCGCGTCGAGAAGAGGCGAACGAGCGCCGGGAGTCGACGGTCCACGCTTCGAACGAAGCGCGGAAGTGGACGGTAGAGCGGGCGAACGCGACGGAAAGTTGAGCAATGTTCAATAAAGTCCAAACCAACTCTAAACTTTATTCTGCACTACAAACATGATGTGCGTCGATTAGCGTCCTCTCTTTGCGAGAACGGAGATCTGGCAGCGATCCGCACGGAAAACTTCGCGGTTGATTGTGTTACGTTCTGGAGGAGGAACGCAACTTGACGCTTGCTTTCGCAAGCTCCGACGTACTCGCAAGTTTGCGGTGCAGATTAAGGATCGGAATGACCCCTTTATCTGGCGCGGACATACGTCGGTGGTCCTTTATTTAGGTCAAGGAACTGAATCCTTTTACCTGGGATAGGACCGTGAGCGACAATTGAGGGAAGGGAGAATTTTTTGGTTGAGAATAATTATTTGGAAACCGTGATTGGCTTACAATTACCAACAACTTGTTTTATTAGTAATTAGACGGATGTTCACAATGAAATAAAATTTACAAGCTTTTATAAAGTGTGCATATACATGGATGTATAAACAATCGCGGTCTGAGCAAAATTCCGTGTTCGTTATGTCCGACTGTGATCGAAAAGATTGGCCACTGGTGTCTGATTTAACAATTAAGGAGGAATGCCAAGGGGGATAGAAAACGGAAGTAAAACGAAAGGAAAATAAAAGAGAGAGAAGAAAAGATAAAAAAAATGAAACGAAAGAGGTCACTCAGGTAAAAGAAAATATAAATAACTTACTGCTGGACTTCTCTGATCTTAGTAGACAATGAAAGGTGTGGTTGCTGCGTCTCCATGAAGATAGATGCCTCAAGTTCTGCGCCAAGGACAGGCAGCTAGTTTCGGCAGGATCGCTCTCAATGGCCCAAGAAGGCACAAGATCGTTGCACCGAATAATTAACAAGTGAAGAATACTGGTCGGTCTAAGCCACAAGTTGGCTTGATTGTTAAGAAACTCTGAAGGGGTGCTGGAGAGAAGCGTCTGTCCTGGGTGCTGGATCGGCGAGAAGTGAGGTTTTTGACTTTTCTCAAAAAGTCAGCTCGGTTGAGAGAGTGGGGTTTTGGGGGAAATGTTCCAGAAGATTATTTTATAGGAGATAAGATGCATGTGGCAATAAGAGGATTTCGAAAGTCTTTTATAAATAAAAAAACGTGGCAGCTATCTTAAGAAGTAAATATCGATATTTCTAAGAACGATGTCGTGGTACTGTTATCAATGATTAAGCGCGTGGTACTGGATGTCGTGGTACTGTTATCAATGATTAAGCGCGTGGGGAACAGGATAGGAGTTGATTCAAGATTGTTAGTATTTTCGGGGTATCGAAAATTCCAGAGATATCGTCGTGTGGTATCATGCCTGAGCGCATTCGGCCATATGATAAGTAATAAATTCGATTTCCCTTATTTATAAAAGAAGCCTAGGGTCCGCTAGGGTTAGTCAGAGGTTGTGTGCGATAAGAATTTATAAATAACATGGGAAAGCATGAGTTTTCGAAGATCAAAGGCTAGTAATATCATATAACAGCATGAAAGATTGTCTGGTCGGTCTGTCTTCAAAGAAAATTATTGCTCCGAACGGGAAGTTAAGGTTATTTGGAGAGGAGATATATGGCCTCAGGAAATGACTCAGCGGATCTTTTCCGACGGAAATAGAGGAAACTCCGGTGATTAAAGCAGAGAGAAAAAGAAAGAGAAATCTGTGTGTGTGACGTCACTGTTCTCGGAAGGTCGCGGAATATGAACATTTGGTCGTATAATATAAAATGTAATCCGCCCTACTTGACAACAAATTCAAAGTACGCGGAGTCCGCAGGACGTAACAATTGATCGGAACGGTGACGACCAAAAACGGTCTAACTTTGACTTTAAACGGTGTTTACCAAAATTGAGCCGAGTTTCGGATAATCCGTGAAAATAGCGCGAATGCGGCTTCCTCGCGGGACTGCCGTCGCAGCTTCGTCCTTGCAATCGATTCCGACGATAAATCGGATAAGCGCCGAATATAGGCAGCAATGAGAGAGCAATGGTCTCAAGACGCGATGCGGTCAGACTTCTGAGAAAAGCGAGAGTGATTTTTAAACTAAACGAATTCGGTTCTGGCGGTGGTCACACGGTGGCCTTAAATGATTGGCTCGACGGCGCGACACATCACCTGTTTTTTTTTCTCTATAGCAGAGCTGGAGACTAAGGCTGCGTTCCGCTTAATGCCCGCAATGCCCGCGACCACGACCGCAAACTTTCCTGTTCCACTAGCTTGCAAACGTTACGATCTCCAAGTGTAGTGGAACGGAGTGTGGACGCCAATAAACATGGACGCCGTTGGTGCGATTAGTATTATGTTGCTGGTGCGTCAAAAAAATAACGTGTCTGGAAGCTCATCGAGTTCCGATGAAGATTGGATAGCAGCTTTGCGGGAAAAAGGAAAACTGAAACTTCGTCCACGCATAACAGATTACACGAATGTTGTTGGCCGTTACATGGATTACGAATTTAAAAGCCATTTTAGGTTAGTAATTATTTACTAATGTTGCATTTTACTTGAACCGCATACACGATTTAAAAATACGAACTATTGATATTGACACAGTTTCCCATTATTTGTAGAATGTTAAGAGCTACATTTGAATTTCTCCTCGAAATCATTCAGGATTTAATTAGAAAAATGAAAGGTTGCCCTACGATTCCTGCTCGTCAACAATTAATGCCCTTTGGAAAATGGCTACTATAGACTCATACAGGTGATGATATTGCAGGATTTGATGAAATAATATTCATTTATGAATTCTCTGTTCATAGCAAATCCATGTTGAAACAACATATTTCATTAATTGTATCACCTTGTTACAGATCAGTCAGTGATCGGTTCAATATGGGGAGAGCCATTGCTCTGAGAGCTGTACGGAGAGTTATTCATGCTGTATTCAGAAGGTCTGAAAAATTCATAAAGTGGCCCAGTGGTGATCGCGCTGTCAGTGTGATACGGGGATTTGAGAAAGCTAGTGGATTTCCAAGAACTATCGGGGCCATCGATTGTACCCATATTCGTATTGATGCTCCAAAGAAGAATCCTGCAGATTATGTTAACCGCAAAGGATTTCATTCCATTTAGTTACAGGTAGATAACATTTATCTTAATACGTGACTGCAAAAACTGTAAGTCATTTGATAATTATTTACTTACATCTATTTGTATATCTATTTATAGTTGGTTTGTGACCATAGGACTTTGATCACACATTGCTACACTGGATATCCTGGTTCTGTCCACGATCAACGAATTTTTCGATGCTCGGAAGTGGCAAACTTCTTGAAGGACGAAGAGAAATTTCCTGCAGACAGCCATATTTTGGGTGATGCCGCATATGAACAGCATCAACACCTGCTCACCCTTTTCCGAGACAATGGTCATTTGACTGCGAGACAAAACAATTACAACTACCGACACTCAGCAGCCAGAGTAGCAGTCGAGAGATGCATTGGTTTATTAAAAGGACGTATGCGAAGTTTACTGCACTGCTTACCAATGTCAAGGGTAGACTTGATGGCAGAGTATATTGTAGCATGTGTAATTCACAACATTTGTACATTACGAGGAGATGAAATAGCTGTTGTCATAGTACCTCCACCTCCAGAAGACAATGTGATAGATGACAATGTTTTGCATGAAGCAAGACAAAATATTGGTGTTCACAAAAGAAATTTGATTATGTATAGTTTGCCCTAGGTAAACTAAATTGATGTCCGTTATGAACGTGTTGGATTTATGTTTATTTAAGTGTCTGTACTCTGTATTCATAATGATGTGAGTGATTACATAATAAAGTTACACAAAAATACTTAGCAGAAAGTACTATTTCATGTTTTTATTCATAACCTCTGACACGAAAATTGATATGTTAATGCGCTTATAGTAAATATTCGTTCTTAGAACATAAAATATTCATAAAAAGATTGTAACAAAAATAAATGTTACCTTACAAATCTAAAATAAAGGGAGTATTTTATAAAAGTAATATCTTGCGTTTTTACTTAACAATTTTGAGACTTATTGCTATCATTACAACTAAAATATAACTTCATACCTAACCTTCATAGAGGGTCATACAAAGACATTAACAAAATATTAATAAAAATAAATACCTCTCAATATAAATTAATAAATGTAATACTTAATGATTGGCACATTTATTACAGTCTTGTGATACACTAATAGTCTATTCGGTTGCTTACACTAATAAGTACACGTACTGAGTGCGCACTAAGGCTTGTTTACAATTAATTCTTATATTTAAGGATTGTCTTAAATACTTTTTAGCCACTTTAAAATAATCTGTACAGCACCAGTATCTATCATTTTTCTGCTAAATGGTTTTCTAGCATGTATTTAAGACAATCTGAAATAAAAGAATTAAGTATAAACAAACCTTAGTGTGCTCTCAGTGCGCATTAGTGCAAGCAATCGAAAGCATAATTGCTACCTTAATTATTTCTTACTTAACTACTGCTTACTTTATTAACTTAACTTTGAGATCTGCGCAAGCAGTGTATTTAAAATAATAAAATACTTTATCATTGGCACATTTATCAGTCTCGTGATGCGATAAGTAATGAAAATTGCTAACCGATTTACTTATTGGCCAGCTTTTCGAGAACTGCAAGGAGTTTTCCGTCTATTTCTATCCTTTCCTTGTGTCGCTTTATCTTGGCTTCTTCATGCTCTTCTTTCTGTCTCATTCTCTTGACAAGCAGTGCGCGTGCACTCAATTTCAATCTTGATGGCTTTAAAAGGAACAAAGAAAAACATTTGTAAACCCAATTATATAAATACAATCACGTAAATACAAGATGATGAGAAAATGAAAATTATTCAAGAGAAATCCACAGACAGAATGAACTAACCAACTGTACACCCATTGTCAGATCCCATACTGCTTTCTTCATCCTGCTTTTTAGATAGGTCTGAGGAAGATGCGAGAGCGACAGGGGCACACCATGCCTTCTTTGAGAAAATTTCGTCCATGATCTGCAAAAGATATAATGTGTATTAGAATGATCAAGAAAATGTTGGAGTAGCACACTCTTAAGTACCCCATCTTTTTATTTCCAGCCGTCAAAAAATTTCCAAGTCCGCCTATCATTGCCTGACTTATTGTTATGATCTTTGACTGCTTTGTAAGTCTTTTTCAAACTCCTCAGCACACATTGGTCCCGTCACATCATGTCCATTACATTTTAGAGTCTCGGAAACCTCTTCCCATGTTTTCTTTTGAGATTGCTTCCCATTTATGAATTTGTTTTCATTTGCTTTGTAGGTCTCGAGCAGAAGCAACACACAAGATGTTGTCCACCTATAGAAACATCCTGAAAATATGTAATACTATGTCACTAATTGCTTCATTCAGAGCATCATTATAAAGGACTGAAGTTGTGACTGATTTAAAAAAAGGTTTTGACATACCTCCATCATCAAGATTGAGGTTACTGACATTTTCTTTGTCTGTTATATTGACAACTTGAAATTCTTGAGAATTCTCCTGCTGTTCTGATGCCACAGCTCGTGACAGCAACGGATCCGATGTAATTTTCAATGATTGCTGCTCTTTAAGAGCAGCATTCATCAGTGATGTTGCAAATATCATATCTGAAAAAGATACGTTATACTGCAGGCCTATTCTGTAACTCGTTATGCCGTTATGTGCTCATAACGACAATTGCGTAGCTTTTTTATCATAAAATATTGCGCATAACGAGCTAAGAATCGTCTGGTTGGTGAGATAACATTAAAGTATAGGCTGTTCATGAGCAACAAAGGGTTATATTGTTTCTGAGAAAAAATTCACATAATTTCACGATATGCAAAAAATATAATATATCACTTACCATTTTTAGCACGAGTGGCTTCTTCTGTCAATAGATTTACTTCCACCAGCGTATCGTTCAGAGGATCGTACAACGAAATTTTCTCTATGGCCATTTCGTTGTCAACAGAAATTACAAAAAAGTGCGCGAAAATGCCGGAACGACCATAATGACCCACCTAAAACTGCGGACGAAGTGGGCTAAAGCTAAGACTCCATGCATGCGGTGAGCTCCGGCAAACGGCTGCGGTGACCAATCAGGAGACAGACGCATGCCGGAGCTTGCCGCAACCGGACTTGCGCCTCCCTCCTGATTGGTCACCGCAGCATTTGCCGCAGCTCACCGCATGCATGGAGTCTTAGCTTTAGAGCGGTCGCGATCAGTGATGTCACCCATGACATTTTAGGCACGACCACAGCGACCGCAGTCGTTATGTGGAACGAGTTAGCGATCATTGCGAGCGTTGCGGGCGTTAAGTGGAACGCACCCTAAGTGCCCTTTTCGGCCGGATTTCAAGCGGTGACACCCACCGTTCCCCTTCCACCGCTCCGCGCTCAGCGGCCGAGGCGATGATCGCGGATCGCTCAGGCTCGTCGCTACGTAAGATGTCAGCTGGAGCGTACCCTCGTGTTTTATTATTGGGTGTGTGAATATGACTCCACCCTTTCCCAACAGATGTTGCTTTTAGTATTGTTAACGTGTACTAATAACTGGCAACACTTATATTCGATAGTACTTCATGTCAACTTTCAAACGCACTACATGAAATTTGGTGTAAGTGTAAGCAATAAGTGTTTTACCCTACTTAAAAATGTCGGTTTTCGTTCCAAACAAACATCATTTGCGGGAAGTATTATTACACTATTTTATTGCAAAGAAAAGCGCAGCGGAAACTTATCGTTTGCTTGTGGAGATTTACGGTGATCATGTTCCATCTAATACTACTTGTAAGGAATGGTTTCGACGATTTCAAAATAATGATTTTGGAACTGAGGACAGAGAACACAAGGGAAACCACCAAAGCAATTTGAAGATGCTGAATTGGAAGCATTATTGACAGAGGATTGTTGCCAAATTATTAAAGGAGAAGTTTACCGACGATAATTAATGCGTTTGAAGCGAGCCATAGAAGAAAAACGGCCAGAATGGGTGAATAGGCACAGTAAATTAATTCTTCAGCATGATAATGCCAAACCGTATACCGCAGAAGTCGTGAAAAGATATTTAGATGGACAGGACTGGGAAGTGTTACTCCACCCGCTATATTCGCCAGACATAGCTCCTTCAGATTACTACTTATTCCGGACGATGCAGTCAGATCTGGGAGAGAACGGGAGAACGGTTCACTTCATACGAAAGTATCAAAATTTGGCTTGATAATTTGATCAGCTCAAAAGACCAGGACTTCTTCAGGCAAGGAATACATAAATTATCTGAAAGATGGGCGAAAGTTGTAGCTGCAGATGGAGCATACTTTCAATAAACTTTTCTTTAATTTTCTAAACAAGCAAATGTGTTTTATTTTAACAAAAAAGGGCGGAGTCATATTCACATACCCAATATAATTATAATATTTTCCTCCCTTAATAATCGCTTTAAAATATATATGTTTATGTGTTTTATACACACATACATATATATATATATATATAATTACAACATAATGAAAAGAATGACATAAAAAAGTATAATTAAAGGATTATTGCAATATATTTCCACATCACCTGTGAGGTACTATTGCTGATACGTTTTTTTAAAGTGCTTCCCCAGTAGGCCTACTCCATTAAATAATAAAGAACAAATACGATAAAATGTATGGCTCGGTAGGGAAACAAAATTTTAGAGCAGAGAGTACGCTGGAGAGGCAAAATTTTCATGCGCATATTTACGTCATTCACAGTCAAGGGGTTAAGCTTATAAGACAACGCTTCTTGATGAATGATGCAATGAGTGACAGAAATTTTAAAACCTTGCTGTCTTATTTGTTCAAAGAAGCCGTTTTTTCAAACCTATCATTGCTTTTGCGCTATCGGTGACTACAGCCGAACATTTGTAGAAATCAATATCAAACTTTTGCAGAGTTTGGCTAACAGCCTTAAAGATTTCAACACCTGTTGTTCTCCCTTGCAACGATACAAAGTCTGAGAGGTCTTTGACATGTGAAAAATCGTTTTACGTACGATTCGAGCAAAAATACACAGTTGATTCATATGCCGATTATCGGTGCTCTCATAAATACATAATGAATAATACGAATAAGACGCAAATGAACATTTTAATTTCTCTTCTAAAGATGAAGCTGTATCATCTATCCGTGATTTTACAGATTTAATGGAATGTTTGCAGCTTTTTCGAAAGTCACTGAATCTCCAAATGATTCGACCGCTGCAATAACGCATTTTTTAATAAACGTTCTTCTTTAAATGATACTTCCCTTTCTTCCTTGATGCGAGCTAGTTCTTCTAAAATGTCTTTGGATATATCATCCATAGTACAGTCTAAACGACCCAGGAAATACTAGTTTACTTGTTCCCAAATGATCATTTACTTCTTTTCATCTAGTTTTCCTGCCGAGCCATACTTTCTATCGTAATTCTTCATTTTCAGTGGAATAGGCCTACTGGGGAAACCACTTAAAAAAAAAACACATCAGCAATAGTACCTCACAGGTGATGTGGAAATCTATTGCAATAATCCTTTAATTATACTTTTTTATGTCATTCTTTTCATTATGTTGTAATTATATACAGGGTGTTTGATAGCTGATCATGTAGACGAAAGTTGGAGATAGATTGGATGTAGCCGAGAAGAAAAGTCATGTACTATAATGTCAAATTGGCAATAGTTATCGCCTCTTGTCGCTTACGTTGCCCCTCGCCGCGCGCGCTTGCCTATCGACACTCACTGACTCCGCCTGTATCAAATGTCTACGGGCTTACTGCGGCCGCTCTCCGCTCTCTACGCGCTCGTTGGCTCACATGTTTTAATTAATAACTCGATAACTATTGCCAGTTTGACATTATGGTATATGACTTTTCTTCTCGGCTACACCCAATTTATCTTCAATTTTCCTCTGCATGATCAGCTATCAAACACCCTGTATACAGGGTGTCTCAGAACTTTGGAACACGGGCTCCGTTGGGACATAGAGCTAAGTGAGAGGAACAAAAAAGTCCTCTACCATAATGTGAAAATCGTAATAGTTTCTTAATTATAACAACGCAAAGTTTGGCGTTTCCCACGCCCAGCACGGCCTATAAACGCTCCGCGGCAAGCTGTGTACGTTGGGGCTGAGCGATAATGCGTCTCGCACTGACCGTCACGCGGCGTCAAAGCGCCAAGACGCCATCGCGACAGTCAGCGCGAGACGCATTATTGCTCAGCCCCTACGCACACAGCTTGCCGCGAAGCGTCTATAGGCCGCGATAGGCGTGAAAAACGCCAAACTTTACGCGGTTATTACTAAAAAACTATTACAATTTTCACATTATGGTTACAATTTTCACATTATGAGGACTTTTTTATTCCTCTCACTTAGCTCTATGTCCCTACGGAGCCCGTGTCCCAAAGTTCTGAGACACCCTGTATATATATACCTTCAGCCTTCAGTTATTAAAAAAAAAATCATTTATTTTTATACAAACTGCTTCGAGAAATATCACTTTAAAAATGAGTATCGATAAGGTACATTTACGGCATGTTATGCTTTACGAGTTTCGGAAGGGAATAAACGTTGCCGCAGCCGTAAAAAAACATTCAGGATGTTTATTAGGATGAAGCACCAGCTAAATGAACTGTGGAAAAATGGTTTGCTAAATTTCGGCGCGGAGAATTTAACCTTGAAGACGAGCCACGCTCTGGTCGACCTTCTGACATTGATGACGATGTTTTGCGTATTTTAGTGCTCAATAATCCGCGAATTTCAACAGAAGAAGTTGCTACAGCACTAAACGTTGACCGATCAACCGCTTTTCGTCGTTTAAAAAAGATGGGATTCGATTTGAAGCTCGATATATGGGTGCCCCATTTGTTGACCGAGAAGAACAAAATCAAGCGAATTTCTGCAGCCGTTTCTTTACTCGGGCGGTTCAATAACGAGTCGTTTTTGGATCGACTAGTGACGGGCGATGAGAAATGGGTCCTCTACAACAATGTTCAGCGCAAACGGACATGGAAACAATCAGGTGAGCATGGTGACGCAATGCCAAAGGCCAGTTTGCACCCGATGAAGGTGATGCTCTCTGTTTGATGGGATTGCAAGGGCATAATCTATTTCGAGCTTCTCCCCGCTGGCGAAACGATTGATTCGGACAAGTACTGTCGCCAATTAACCAATCTGAATCGAGAAATAAAAGAGAAACGTCCGATTTTGTCAAATCGCAAGGGAGTCGTCTTTCATCACGACAACGCCAGACCACACGTTTCGAAAAAGACGCTGTGCAAACTGAAGAGCCTGAAATGGGATGTCTTAACGCATCCACCGTATTCTCCTGATATCGCACCATCTGACTATCACTTGTTCCGGTCATTGCAAAATTATTTAAATGGAACAAACTTTGACTCTTTGGAGGCATTAAAAAACGGCGTCTCTTCGTTCTTCGAATCTAAACCGCGCAGTTTTTATGATCGAGGCATCCGTATGCTGCCAGAACGTTGGGAAAAGATTATAGAAAACGATGGAGAATATATCATTGATTGAATAAAGATTTTTGTTTGCCTAATCACTGTATGACTTTTACTCACAAACTCCGCACGAACTTTTGCACTCACCCAATATATATATATATATATATATATATACATGGTCATCGAAAAGTATCGGACCCCCCTAATATCTTCAGCTAGAATACATTTTGGAGAAAATGTCCAATAGCAAAGTTGTATGGTTTCCAGCGGGAAGTAAGATGATGACCTTGATTTTGATCTTGTCCATGTCCTTCAAGGTCATTTCAAGGTCAACCTTATTTTTTTAAATGGAACCCCCAACATTTTATTACATATTCTTATAGCTTATCTCGAAAGCTTTCCAAAACACTATAATGAAACATTTTTTCATTAAGTACTTTTTGAGTTATAAGGGTTTGAAGTTAACAATTTGTTAAGTGGTGTGTGATTCCGGCCAGTTAAGGCAAGAGTGATGTGTGATTCCGACCAGTTAAGGCAAGAATGGTGTGTGATTCCGACCAGTTAAGGCAAGAGTGGTGTGTGATTCCGGCCAGTTAAGGCAAGAGTGGTATGTGATTCCGACCAGTTAAGGCGAATTTCATTCCAATTGGTCAGCTTGGGCAAAATATTCAATTGTACCAAACAATTCATAACAAATGTTCAAATTGTTGCCCTTCAACAGCCTGATAATGTACCAATCTGTTATAAACAGCTGAAACCGCATTCCGGAACATTTCCGGCGGTATCTAACTCTTAGTTCTATCTCTCGAGTTATTCTCCTTCTTAAATCATCTAAATCTTGAAGCTTGGTAGCATAAACTTTACTTTTCAAGTAACCCCACAAAAAAAGTCAAGTGGGGTCAAGTCCGGAGATCGAGGTAGCCACTCAATATGACCCCTTCGCTCTATCCACC